TCCATCCATCCATCCATCCATCCATCCATCCATCCATCCATCCATCCATCCATCCATCATCTTTACTTGCTTCTTCCTTTTCAGGTCACAGGGGTCACTGGTGCCCATGTCCAATCATCACTGTGCGAGAGGCGGGGGACACCCTGGACAAGTCTCCAGTCCATCACAGGGACACATAGAACAAACAACCATTCACTCTCACTCACACCTAGGAACAATTTAGAGTTACCAATCAGCCTAACATGCATGCTTTTGGTCTGTGGGAGGAAACTGGAGCATCTGGAGAAAACCCACGCATGCATGGAGAGAACATGCAAACTCCACCCAGAAAGCCCCCCAGCTGGGATTTGAACCAGGGTGACCTGTTTGCTGAGAGGCAGCAACTCTACCAGCCCACATTATTCCCTGCTTCTAATAACTAGCTTTTCTTCACATGCTAAGATGTCAATCTTTCCAAATATTTTAAAAATATTTATTTTATAGTTTAATCAGAGGCCTAAATCACAGTAGATTGTAGTAAATGTCCACACACAGGATCAGAAAGAGGATGAACAACCTCATGTAGACTTACATTTCGTAGCTGCTATGTAATTCAAGTTTTCACTGCTCTGTTTACATGACACTTATTGAAATTTAAGTGCTCCAAATCCACATTAAAATGCGAAAGTCTGCTCAGCTTTCCTTTCACTTTGTGCTCGTAATCCTCTTCTGGATGAGGAGCACCTGTAAATGAGATTATACTGATGGCCTGAAATGAATCTGCTGACCTCCTATAAACTGTAGACTTCTCAGCACACCTGAGTAACTGTGCAGTGATACTTCCCTTTTGTTCTTAACACCTTGGAGCCACAACCACCTCTCCTGTCATGATAAACTGGTGATAATTTGAATTTCTAATTACTGATTATAACATCACTTTAGACCTGGATTATCACAGATATGTAAAGACACAAAGACAATAATATTTAACATTTTTATTGCTCTAAGATAAGCAATAAAACAAGTGAACCAGTCTGACAGCATGACATGATCAGAAATATTCCAGTACAAAGGAAGGTACAGAATGATTTCTAATCTAAAAAATAAAACAAAACAGTTTTTATTGGAAAAAAAATCTCGTTGAAAAATAGGATACAAATGTCTAAAACAAACATGATTTTCACCAATTTACTCATGTATAATATATACTTTCAAAATCAAAAATACAATTATTCCAAGAAAATTTTTGTTTGCACACCAGGTGCTAAAACAAAGTGTTTTATTAAAATGTAGTTCTGACAGAATATCACAAAAACCCAACAGACGGAGACCGTTCTATTGATCTGGCATGCGGAAATGAATTTAGTTAATCCAATTAATTTTAGAATAAAACTTGTGATTGTTTTAAAAATGCTTAGATGACGTACATTTTCTACCAGCCATGTATGAAAACAGTATGATAATTAATAGCAGTTATCAATTATTAGTTTTAAGTTTGCAAAACAGCAATTAAAAGGAGCTCCTAATCATGATACTTTTAAAGCAAATGACATTTGATGAAGAAGCTGTAAAACATCTTGTGTCAATCATTAAATAGTATATCAACAAATAAAGCTGATATTTAAGACCCAAAAAAAAAAAAGAGAATAAACTTAAATTAATTTTGAAAATGATACACTGGATCAGCCACACTGCTGCACAGACACACAGTTTCACTTTTGTTTTTTTTACACCTGCACCTTGCACTTACAATTACAACCTTCTGTTTCTCACAATTTACAAATATATACAGTTTCCTTTCCTATTCCTACCTGCATGTTCCTTTTTTAAATCACTTAACTGTATGACCTTCAGCCGAACACTTTCTCGTTCCAACAGGATAGTACTTTCTTACTTTACCATGAGATCCTCTTTTATTAGAATATATTTAGCTAAACTCTGTACATGGGAGATAATATTTCAAAGGACACTTCTGGGGACAGCCTTTCTGTGTTGGTGTTTAGGAGACGAGGGGGAGCTGTCTAACGGGGGCCACTGTGGTTTTGTTAACTGAATTTCTTCCTCTATTTTAAAGGCTTTCTTCTGTGAATCGCTCTGTGGGGGCCAAACTACAGATATTTTGTTACTGTGGGGTTTGCTTTCATTAAATGTTTTTGTCGTTTCGTTTTCACCTCTGTGGGGTTTGTCTAGTGAATTTATGCTGCTCGTGGAATATCTGCGTTCAAGGGTCTCATCCGAAAGGATAGATCCGCCACTTCCTGAGGGAGGCTTCTGTCCAAGACCGTTACTGTAGTTCCCTGTGGATTTGAGGAGTTGTCTGTAATGGGGTAGGCAGTACAAATGTCCATGGAAAGAGACGTAATTTCCAAGGCTGCAAAACAAAATAGCATATTTATTTACATTTTTTTTATTATTATAATTTTTATCGTCAAAATCAAAATACTGTTGCTTTTTGGTAATTAGAAATTAACGCATCATATAAAAACAAACAACAAGAACTTCTGAGGAATTTACCTTAATTTATTTTTGCAGTGCTCACAGCAGAAACAGGATTTATGGTACTTTTTTTTGTCCACTATCAGGGCATCCATTGGATAAGCTCTCCTCCGGCAAACCGTGCAAAGCTCCGACTTCGGCACTCGAGTCTGTTTCCCAAAGAGATGAAATGCAAATCAACGGAGTATTTTTATTTAGTGGAAATCATTTCATGTGCTCTAATTAGCATTTTGACATGCCTCACCGTGCAGCTAGTTAGAAAAGACACATTCAATTTAAAACCTCACTTTTTCAGTCTTTGTTATAATACTTCCAGAGTGTTTTATTCATCAATCATGCATGACTGATCAAACTGACCCACATTCACAAATTATAATTTACTAAATTTCCTGTTGACTACCAATCTGAAGTTGCATTTAGCAGTCATCAGCTTTTGTGTTTTTTTAATCAAAAAGGAAGTGCAAATGTCACTTCTTATAAAATAAATATAAGAAACTACACAAGATCGTTGTGTTTCTGCCAAGTTACATACAAATTTAAGATAAAAAAAAACTTTATAGATGTCTGTGAAAAATTACCTTCTCAGTTGATTGGAGTATTTATAAAGTCCATATTAAATGATTGTATCTATTTGTTAGTTTCAAGTATTCTTCAATAAATCACTTTTTTTTTTGGTTATTCCCATTATATTTGTTTGAGTAAGGTATGTTTTGATACATTGCTACCAAACATGTGTGTCTATAATACTCTGTGTAAGAAGGGTAAGTTTTAATGGACTATGATAGGAAGTGACATTATCCCAATATTTATATTTCTTATGTTATTCTCGGACACATTCACGTCTTTTCTTGAGCTTCAAATATGATCACATCTGGTTAAAACAGTTATAAATTCATGACCAAAGTGAAACACTCAAGATTTCATAAAGTAACATTCCTTGTTGCCAGATCTGTGCCATTAATCATTCTTGTTCAACAAGTTTAAGCTTATGCTAAGTGGATTGAGGTAAGGCCTAGAACATTGTTGCCCATATGAGTTGTTCTGTGTCAGTCTCACCCTCAGCACAGTCAACGGTTGTGCTTAAACAAAACAAGTGGACGTTCGTGCAACCCTCCAAAAAGCCAGTGACATGGAGCCTTTTAGAGTTGACACAATAGCTGAATGCTTAAAAGTTAGTATCAGTCAAAAAAGCATCAAATGCGGCAAGTTCATAAAAAAACAAAACAAAGTGGTTGTTTGAAAATGGCGACAGATCTAGTGAACAATCGCAATATGCTTAATGCGACGTTTCTCTCAATCACAAATCATATTGCTGGCTTGCCATGAATTCTGTCACTTCAGAGCAAAACAGCAAGAGCAGCAACAACCGCTAGTAGCTCACAATCCAGATTGCAGGGTGCTCTGGTTTCTTCCCACAGACCAAAAACATGCATGTTAGGCTAATTGGTAGCTCTAAATTGTCCCTAGGTGTGAGTGAGAGTGAATGATTGTTTGTTTCGTTTGTCTCTATGTGACCCTGTGATGAACTTGGACCCTATGTATATTAGCACCAGCAAGCCCTGTGGCCCGGAAAGGAAGAAGCGGGTAAAGATAATAGATGGATGGCTATTTGGACAATATATTCCCGAGACTACTCCATGACAATAACATGCTATGACATGTTAATGTGGCTCATGTTAAACACATAATTAGCCGATGAATGGTCAGATCACTGTGGCACAAAATTACACATAGAATCAACCAGCTCACATTACATATTTAACAAATGACCTGAAGATTACATTTGTTGAAAGCATAAGTACTAAAAAATAAGTAAATTAGTAAAGCTATACCATGCATGCTTCAGCCTCTCTATAGAGTAGCTGTAGATGCTTTAACCACAAAATCCATAGTCCATGCATTTATTTTCTGCTCTTTCATGCCATGAACTTTTACCCGACGACACAGTCTCCATCTGATGTGACATGACTTGCGACGTTGTCTCCTCTGAAACAGTGTAGCCAAGATTCTTGAAAACGGCCTCGCTCTCCGTCCATGTTTTATGAAAATTCCTCAGTAGCCTTTCTGTAGCATCTTCGTCATAGGTTTCTGCTCGCCTGGCAGCGTTTCTTTTAACAGCGTCAGCATATGAAAAAGGTGTCTGCTGGGTGACAGCAGTCACTGTCCCGATGACCTTGTTACCAAATTCATCAACATTCGAGAAATGTTCAGTGACTGTTTTAGTTTCTGAGAAGTCTGACGGTTCTGCTGGAATAGTTTCTGGCTCGGTTTTCTGAAAAGGCAAAAGGGTGCTGTGCCTTGTGCTTCCTTTTGTCCCCAGAGGGCTATCCCACTTTGAAGTGTGTGCTGCTGTTTCACTCAGACTTGACACTAGCTCCTCCTGATCCCTTTTCTCCTCCTTGAATGAAGATATTTGCTCACCCAGTTCAAAAACATTTTTAATAGCTAGAATGTTAAAAGTTGGCATTTCCTGCTCTAAGATGTTTGCTCTTTCGTTATCGCATTCTGTGATCTCAGTGTTGCTGTGAAGGCACTCTGTGAGTTTCTCTTCTGAGGATTCAAATTTGTTTACACAACCAGACACATTTGCCCCGAGCGGCTCGTCTTTTTCTTTATTCTTATTTTCAGCCACACGCTCCAACATCTCAGGGCCCAGCCGTTCCGTTATCGTGACAGGTTCCTTACGCTTATAAACCTTATTCATATCTGCTTTTTGTACTTCTTCAAAAAACTCTCTCTTTTCTTTGACAGACGCAGAAGATAGCTCATCATCATGGGACGCTTCTGTGAGATTTGGCTCATTTTCGTCAGCTGGCACATGAGTTTCAGAACTACTTAAGATGCTGTTCACATTTGAGTTCTGCGTTTCATTTAATTCAGTCTGCTGAACTTCCTCATGGAAAATCTCTTTAGGCTTTTTTGTTTTGGTTAATATCTCTGAAGCCTCTGCTACCTGGGAATCAATTTTAATCTGCCGATGGAACGTATTAGGAGATTCCACAATCTCAGATCTCTTCTCTGGGATTGGACTGGTGAGCAGCGGTGGAGGGGTGACGACCCGCAAGAGTTTTGCAGTCGTGTCTTTAAGCCGAGCCAAATTTTCCGCTTTATCGAATGTCGGAGAAGGTGTGATTCTGGTGATGCGCGATGTTGGAGTGTCACACCTGCGCGGTGGTGGTGTTGGAGGTGTGGGCGGCCTGTGCAGCAGTGTTGGTGATGGAGTCACTCTCTGGGGGGAGTCGGTTCTTCTTATGGACTCAATGGTGATGAATGTTGGAGAAGGCGGACGCATCCTGAGTGAAGGTGAGGGAGCTCGAAAGTCGAGCGATTTGCACAAACTTACTTCTTCCCTCCTGCTTTCATGAGAGGTAGTTTTCTGACTTTGGGTTTCTATTTTGGACGAACCAATGCTGATCTTAGATATTCTGGTTGATGCTGCCAGGCCAGAAGTGGATCTCTCTGAACCTAGCTCGCATTCATGCTTCTCCATTGTGTCGCCTGCCAGGTGCATCAGCTTATTTTCTGCTAGCTTCCTTACATTTAAAATAACCTCTTTGTTCTTTTGAGCATCACTTTGTGTTGTGTTTTGTTCTAGTTCGTGCTTCCTTTCAGGAGTTATGAGCCAGTCTGGCAGTGAGTTTAGCAGACTTTTCACAGGTTTAGAATGGGTCTCCTCTGAAGTGCTTTGCATCTCTTCGATTTGAGAGATTAACACTTGGACCTCTCGTCTCTCAGATGCCTTTGTTCTCTCAGTTGTGGATTTTGCAAGTTCATTTTGTTCTGACTCAACTGTCACAGTAATTGGGATGTTCCTGCTTTCTTTTGCTTGTTCCTCAGTGCTCTGCCGAGTAACTGTCACTCCTTTCTTCTGAGACCCCTTCTCTTGTACTTGAAATACTTTTTGTTGCAATGGATTCTGGTTGTCTTTGCTGTCAGTTGTAATAACATCTCCCTTGATTTGAATGTGCTCTTCTTTGATACTTTTGTGAATTTGTTTGACTGCAGTTGTTTCCAGAGTTGGTTGAGTTGGTTCAGATTTTACTTCTGCTGTTTCTATCTTTGACACAGTGAGAATGTCTTTACCTTGACCTTGCTGTGCACCTCCTTTAGACTTTTTGGATTTCTTTTTCTTCTTTGTGGGAGCTGGAGGTTCCTGTTGGATGTCAGTGTTGCCTGCAGGAGATGCAGCAGCAGGAAGAGACGGAGAAGCTTTCTTTAACTCCTGTTTTGTCTCTGCAGCTTTCGTCTGAGCCACTTTCAAATGTTGCAAAGCACTGTGCTTTTCGTTCTCATTGGATACTTTTATCTCTGCTTGCTTCTCTTGTTTGTTGTTGTTCTTTTTTATCTTTTGGCTTTGTTTGCCTGTCTTCTCATTTGCATTTGGAGCTACATTGTCTGTTTGCATTGGCTGAGTGGAAATATTTTTCTGTCCCTTGGTAGGAGAATCATCTGTTGTCTTGTCATTATCGTCATGTATTAATTTTGCTTCCTTTTCATTTTTTTCTGGTGAAACACTGTTGTTAGCTTTCTGCTTTGTCTCTGTTTCTGGTTTCATCACTTGAGGAGGAGTCCTGCTCTTTTTTGTCTCTTCTGATTTGTTGGAGCTCTTTGTTTTATGGTTTCTAGAATCTGTCTTTGCTTGTCCAGGCATGATTTCTGGTTTTGCAACGTTATTGACTGAGGTCTGGATTTTACCAGAGAGGCTAGAAGAAGCAGACTGCTGTGAAGAAACAGAAAGAGCATCCTGCATTGTTGTCTGCATGTACTGTTTAACAGCAGTGACAGATGAAGTCTTCTGCATGGAGACGACCTTAGTGGTCTCATTTGTTAAAATATGCTGTTTAGGAGATAATGTAGTTGCAGATTCTGCAGTGGTGTTCTCATTTTGGGTATTATTTGAGAGAACTACCTGCTTGGATAAATCACATGATAAAGAGTTTGAATGAGCACTTGTTGATGCAATTTCATCTTTTTCCTGTTGAATTCCCGAGCTGCTGTATTTTGATTGCTCTTTACTGGATAGCATTTCTATAGCAGCGCTCACAGAGTCATGCAAAAAGGTGGGAGATGGAGTGGTTGGAGGTGTGTTTTCTTCCTTCAGCTTTCGGTACTTTTCCTCTGCTTTTATTAATGGTGTGTTGAATTTACTGGATTTCCCTTTCATGGATGGAGGAGGGGAGGGCGGTGGAGTAAATCTCACCGGAGTGACGTAAACTTTCTTCAGAGGCCGTGGTGACTCTGGTGGTGGAGGAGGGATTTCATGCAAAATGATTTTTGATGTTTCATTAGTTGTTTTTATTTGGCTTTGGCCAATTTCCACCCTTTTCTCGGTTGTTGCCTGCACTTGTGTTTGACTGAATTCCACTTTCGACTCGAGCTTAGGAACTGGATGCAGGGTAGGGGCTTTCACTTTCTTGACAGTCATTCTTTTTGCTTTTGTAGGCTGTGTTGGCATGCTCTCCAGCTCTCGCTCGGATGGAGGTGGTGGGAGGAAGTCCTGTTCCCCTGGAAGAGGTGGAGGAGGTGGTGGGGGAGGAAGGTGATCAATGTCAATATCAGCTGTGGGAGGAAGAGGACTAGGAGGGCAAGGAGGAAGAAGATCAGTGTCAACCACTGGTGGAGGTGGTAGAGGGAGTTCAGGTTCTGGTGCTTGTAGGTTGAACATGTACTCATCTGTAGTCACTTTAGTTTTACCATGTTTTATCATCCCCTTTGGGTTGGATTTAAGATTGCGGAACTCAGTTTTTACAGTTCTGATGCCATGATTTTGAGTAATAGTTCTGTGCTCCACAACAGATGACTTTTCCACCTTAATTCTAACATTATCTGCTTCATTAGTGACTGAGTGACTTTCTTTAGAGGTTTCAACCTGTTTAGCTGTTTTTATTTTTTGTGCGTTCCTCTGTGCATCAGATTTGAGGGTTTTCACTGAAGGGCTCTGCTTGACTTTTATTCTTCTGCACGTGCCATGCCTGATTTTGGGAGTTTCACGCTGTGCTGTTTCCAGCAACGATTTAATGGTGCCTTTAACATCCCCCTTAACCACTTCTTCTTTCTCCACCTGGGTTTGCTCCTGTGTTTCATATAAAGACTTTATTGACATTTTGACATCCCCCTTTACATCTCTCTCGAGGCTTAAGCTCCGTTGCATCCTCGGTGAGGGCGGAGGCTCCATAAAGAGCTGAATCGTCCCTTTCACATCTCCTTGGACATCTATTTCCTGTTGATACATTTTCTTCTCACTGGAGGCGTCTTGTAGACTTTGCATGGCTGTGTGAATATCACCTCTCACAATTTCTTCCTTTTCAACCTCCCTCACTTCTTGCTTAGCTCGGTTTAGGGATTTCATTGTCGCCTTCACATCTCCGGGAACTAAATCATCAATAGCGGCTTCAACTCTGGATGTTACTGATTTCTCAAGGGATTGCAGAGCCCCTTTGATATTTCCTGGTATTATATCTGGCTTTTCCACCTCCCTGTAGCATTTCTGCGCCCTCTCCAAACACTGCAGAACTTTTGGGATGTTGCCTTTCACCACTTCCTCTTTTTCAACAATCACTGTCTGATTCACTGATTCAGACAAGGAGTTCAAAGCAGCTTGTACATCTCCTTTGACTATCTCCTCCTTTTGGATTCCGTCTGCTGAGATGGTTGGCTCTGACGTGAACACTTTCAATGTGTTGTGAACATCCCCAGGTATAACATCCTCTACTGTTCGCTCAATTTGCATTTTATTACGAGTAAGAATGGATTTGGTGCCCTTGATGTCCCCCCCAATGATCTCCTCTTTCTTTGCTGTGTCAGGTGAAGTCTCATCAGGGTCCAGTTGGAGCTGTTTAAGATAGTCAAGAGACCCAGATTCGATACATGTAGAGTAAAAATGGACGTTTCCTTTTTCCATGTCATCTATCTTTATCTTCACTGCCTGATCCGGCATGTCTGAGCTTGATAGTCTTTCAAGAGCCTTCTTTATATTCCCTTTTATGATGTCTTCTTTTTCTATATTAACATTTTCATGTTTGTGCAGAAGGGAATAAATTGTCATCTGTACATCACCTTTTTCATCTTCCTGTATGAGTATTCCCTGTTTTGCTGATCCACTCTCATCAAATAGATTGTTAATGGCTTCTTGAATGTCACCATGCAATATTTCCTCTTTTTCAGTATTCAAAACTCTTTCTTGGCTGAAGAGTTGCTGCACTGTTGAGCTGATATTACCCTTCTCTTCTGAATCTATGACTACTTGCCGATCCTTTTTTTCCTGCCTGTTCAGAAGGTTCATCATTATAGTCTGCAGATCTCCCCTGATGATTTCTTCTCGCTGAATCTCTGGAGTCTGCTTATTCATTAGCTGGTATTTTGCCATCCTTACATCGCCAATTTCGTCAGCTTCTATTAATATTCCCTTTGAATTCACCATTTTCTGGCTGTAAAGTTCTTCAAGTGTTCCCATGACACTTTTGCCTAATATGTCAGTCTTTTCTATTTTAGTCTCATTAAAGTCATCAAATGGTGTAGTTTCAAAGAGCCATGTTGTTGTTTTTACGTCCGCTTTGGGAATCTCCTCTGGAATGGCAATGGCATGCTCATCCTTATCTGTCTCTTTAATGTGGTCAAGGGGTGTTTTCTCAAAAAGCCAGACTGAATGTTTGACATCTCCCTTTGCAACATCCTCCTTTTGAACTGTTTTAATTAGATTGTCAGAGCTCATGCTTCTTATTTTGTCCATAGACTGTGTTTCAAATCTCCACTTAGCAGTCCTGACATCACCTTTCTGTATTTCACTTACATTAACTGTCCTGACTGATGTATCTGATGCGGTGTCGGTCTCAAATCGCTGCTTATTCACTTGAACATTGCCCCTTTGAATATCTTCCACCGTTTTTATCAGCTGCTTCTTCTCGTCAGCAATCATATCAAGAGGTTGCGTCTCAAATTTCCATTTGGCAGACATGACATCACCTTTTTGCACATCCTGCTGTGTTACAGATTTGATTAAATAAACCTCATCTGTGTCTTTAATAGCATCGAGTGGCTTGGTTTCAAACAACCATCGAGTTCCAACAACATCTCCTTGTTTTATCTCTTCACTTGTGACAGTGGTGACCTCGTGATAATGACCTTCTTTGTCCTGAATGGCATAAAGTGGCTGTGTTTCAAACAACATTGTGTAATTTCTCACATCACCCTTCTCATCCTCATCGCAGACAATCTTCTGGCTTTTCATTCCTTCTGTTTCAGAGGAAACCTCATGGATTTTATCTAATGAATATGTCTCAAAAATAAACCGACCCTTACCTACATCTCCTCTTTGTACATCATTCACGGTGTGGTTGCACATATCCTTCTCTTGGCTGTCATGTATGGTATCAATGGATTGGTTTTCAAAAAGCCATTTGCAGTTTACAACATTTCCTCTTTGTATGTCCTCTGTCTGAACTCTCTTTAGCTTTTGCATCACTTCCTCAGACGTAGAAGACATAATTTCAGATGTTTGGTTTTCAAAAATATACTTTATCCTCGACACGTCTCCAGATGCAATATCTATCTCGGTGACACGTTTATAAGACCCTTTCTCCTCCCCAGTGAGGTTTTCCAGATTCTCTGTCTCAAAGAGAAAACAAGCCATTTTTACATCTTTTCCTCTGATCTCCTCTTGGTTTAAAGTGTGTGTTTTCAAAACTGTTTCTGTTTCATCATGAATAGCATCAAACGCTTGAGTTTCAAACATCCATGTGCAGGTTTTGACATCTCCCTTGCGTATTTCTTCAGATTTATTCTCACCTTGTAGCTCCACTCTTTCATACAGGATGTCCATCGGTTTTGTCTCAAACAACCACTTGCAGGTTTTCACATCCCCCTTTACAACATCCAGGTGTTTACTTTTTTCTACAGTTTCTTCATCTTCAATATTGCTGAAGTACTTAATGGCATCAAGAGGCTGTGTTTCAAACAACCACTTTGCAGTTTTAACATCCCCAGACTCGACTTCTTGTTTGGATATGCCCTTAATAATTTGGTACTTCTCAATGCTCTCATCAAACTGATCAATTGGTTTTGTTTCAAACATCCATTTGTATGTTGTTACATCTCCTTTTACAACCTCTTCACGGCGCACTGTTTTAACTTCATGGTAGTACCCCGAACTGTCTTGCATGGCATACAACGCCGAAGATTCGAACAGGTTCTTATTTGATTCAACAGAACCACAAGGTATTCCCTCTATGTGAATTGTTTGAGATTCTTTACCTGTATTTAAATCTGTGCACTCAAAGATGTGCTTGTAGTTTGACACATCCACTTTATCTATTTCTTCCAGGTCAATTGTTCGTATCATTTCTTTTCTTTCCTCTCTAATTTCCTCCAGAGGTTGACTTTCAAACCTCCATTTCTGATGTCTAACATCACCCTTCTCCTCATTCAGTGTAACAGATTTTTTCAGTTTGCCCACTTCTGCCAACTCCTTCAAGTCTTCACTTGGAACCGTTTCAAAATATTGTCTGGCCGATCTCACATTACCGGAAACAATTTCTTCTTTTGTCAAAGGGTGGGTATTTGAATCATCTTTTAAAGTATCCATTGGCTGCGTCTCAAATACCCAGCAGTTCCTTCGAACATCTGCTCTGCAACTTGTGCCATCCTCCTGTGTGAGGTCATCATCGACATTTACAGTACGAGTAACCTCTTTTTTCTCCTCTCTTATTTGTTCTAGAGGTTGACTTTCAAAGCGCCACTTTTGGTGTCTCACATCCCCTTTCACTTCTTCATTTACAGTTGCCTTTTTAAGTTTTCCGACCTCAGAGTAGTTTTTCCTGGCAACTTGGGGGCTGCTTTCAAAAAAGTCCCTTGCAGATCTAACATTGCCTCCAATAATGTCTTCAACACACTGGGGTCTGGCATTGGAGTCATCTTTTAGAGAATCCGTTGGCTGTGTTTCAAAGACTAAGCAATGTTTACGCACATCAGTTCCAGTGATCTCCTTCTTCTCCATTTGTAAACTTTTCCACTCACTCAGAGAGTTGAATGTCTTTATCTCAAACAGCCACCTGCCCCAGTCTCCTTTACTGCTGTCCTCCATGGATAGACTGCAAACAAGCTTCAAAGGAGTCACTTCTTTGTTTGTCGTGTCCAGAGGCTGGGTATCAAAAAGCCAGCGTGATGCGATAGAGTTTTCCAATTCGGTTTCAATTTTACGCACGGACTTTATTTCCAACATCTGGCTTGATTGTCCCATGATGAGGCATTTAAACTGAGTGTCAAAAGTACTGGTTATGGTTTTAAAGTCTCCATTAATTTCTTCTAACACTGACCGTAAGCTCAGCAGGTGGCTCTCATCAATGGTTTCAGTGTGACCAAGACTATCCATGAACAAACTGTCTATCATGTAAATTGTAGCATTTCCATCCTCTTCAGTAAATACGATTTCTTTTGTTAGGTCTTCCTCTGGGTGCATTTTGTTCAGAGTGTCCATAGTTTGAGTTTCAAACAACCATGCTGCAGCACGGACATTACCTTTGTCGAATTTATAAAATTTGTTTTTAGATTCTGCTGAGTTTGTGTTAAGTGAGCCTAGCTCATCTATTGGCTTGGTGTCAAACATCAGTGCCGTACGTCTCACATCTCTTCCAGCAATTATTTCTTGTTCTAGCATTTTCATGCCGTCTTCATCCTCATCAGGAGTTTCGTCTTTGATGGCATCAAGCGGTTTATTTTCAAACTTCCAACACATTGCTTGCACCTCTCCGGGGAGAATCTCCTCCCATTCCTCATATTCCTCTTCATTCATTTCGTCAGGACTGCTGCCGTCATTCTCAGACGTGTACGCCTGACTCTCCACCTGGTTGCTCTCAGTTTCACTGTATTCACTGTAGAACTCTTTCTCAATATTCTTACGAACCTCAGGATGAATGTGTCTGTAAAGGCGCTTCAGCTCAGACATACTCTGCTGCTTGACGTAAGCCTCTTTCTTGAAGGGTTGTTTGGACGGGTTTACTGGCTCTGGAGGCTCATGTGAGTAATGGCCTGCTGGAATATTTTCACTGTCTGATGGCATTTGTAACAAGTCTGGAGGAGGTGGTGGAAGATACTCAGAATCATCAGCTGGAGGGGGTGGGAAGTCTTCATAATCCATCACTGTGACTGTGCCTTGTGCTGCTTCAGCACTGGATTCTTTGTGCACATCACCAGCCACTGTGTTGTTCTGAGTCACGTTAGAGGACCACTTAGACTGAGCGATGTTGCGTCCAATCTTTGTAGGGAACAAAAATATATTAATTTGTAAATACTTCTAAAGCTATGAATCCATGAACAGGTGAAAGTTGTATGTTAGATTATATACATATATATAGGAAGTTAAATCAACCATCAAAACAGCAGAATGTCAATCTGTCCAACAAATTTTGTACATTTTGCACATTTTGAGCATGCATCAGGATATTTGCACATTTTGTTTTCTTTGTATTCTCTTTTCAGCTGCAGTGATAAATTTAATAAATTTAATAAAAAAATGTTGGAAATCTCAAGACTTTAAGTCAAGTAGCAAAAGTATGTAATAGTTCAATAAAGCCACATCAGAAAAAACATGTTAGTGTCAAATTTAATCTTCCCCAGGAATTTTGAAATGTTACCAGAGAGATAACTATGGTGTACAATTGTTTAATGGGGTTAAAAGGAAAGTTAAAATCTTTGAAAGTGGATTTTGATTGCGATATTAAGAGTAGTCAATATCTTACCTGTAGAAAACAGCAACCAGAATGGTATCAGTTTTGGGGAACAGGTAAAACTCTCATGGAGGAGATGAGCTAACGGCCAGTATGATGGTTCATGCAAAAGCTATTTTAAAAACACTTATGGTACCATATTTTTACATCACATATTTTTCTAGATAGAATTATATGCTTATTTATACTGAAAACTGGACATGTTGAAATCATCTATTGCAACTCATTTTGTGCAAAAACATGAGTTGCAAAAAGTAATAGTCTACTTAATCAAAGTAACTTTATGAAACAAAATAATAAAGTACAAATGTAAGTAAAATAGCATTTACATGAACCTTAAAGTTTTTGTATTTTTTTATCATTTTAAATATTTGAAATTTATGCAGGAAACGATTCAGATTGACTAGCCCTTTACTTAACTCCAATATGGACATTTCTCTCTGATTGTTGATTAATTTGATTGTTGTTTACTGCATGTGAGATATTGACTACAGATACTTTATCTGACAAAACCGACAAAAACTTAACTACCCCTTGAAAACATATGATATTCACATGTGTAAAATAGTGATAACAACCCTTATATTACCTAAACCTAAACAGGCAGTATTGCTTTCTATACTTAACCAATGAGTCACATAAAAAAAGTAAAAATGCAATACCTTAATGGGTTTGTGTGAAGCAGCCTCCTCTATTGTTCTTTCAAAGTGATCTCTCAGTTCTTTTGTAGTGTACCTGGGAAAGTCCTCTTCTAAAAATAAGCATAGGCACAAGAAAGGACAAGTTTAAATTAGCTTTGTATAGCAATCAGTAGAGATTAGCCTTAAAATGAGAAGGTTTTTAGATAACTTCCTACCTGTGTCATTTTGATGATTTTCATAACTGGATGCCAAGTTGTTGTCATGGCATGATACCTGTGTGTATTTTAAATGGAAAACAAAACTTAATAAACAACTTATATCCCAGAAGTGATTCCATTTTTTGAACGAAATTAATTATTTTAATCTCATTAGACTCAACTCAATTTAAGCATTCTGATTGCCTTTTTTAAATTTTACTCCATATGCATGTCTAAAGGTACTAACTCACTGCAGGGCGATGACGCTTAGAAACTAGTTAGTGATTTAAACTAAACTTCTTGTTTAGAGAAAATGTGCAAATTTTCAGTTACAGTCTGATTGAAGTCTGAGTATTTGTAACCAAGTGGCCATCAAGACATGAGGTTGCGCTTTGTGGGACCAATTCTTGAAGATTGCAGAATATTTTGTATCAATTGCGTGCAAAATGTATTTTAGACTTGCACATTGTTTTTTTTTACCAACTTCCACCCATATTATACCTGAATCAAACAAGGAAACAGATCCCAACCAGTGCTGCAAGACTCCCTTGCAAATATTTTTCTCAGACTAGCTGCCCACAGTTACAGCACAGAGATACTACCTTCACTAGGTTCTTGCAACACTACATTGATAAATATGCATACCATAGTTTCTTGGAAATGTAGCTGCTGACTGCCTGGGATGACCTGCCTGCTGCCACTTGACACCGTCACCTCTGAGGTTGACATTTCCTGCAAGGGCAAAGATGTTTGTCAAACATGGCAAAAATATATACATGTCTCACATGCATGTTTCTCATATGACTCAACCCACCACATCATGCACATTCATTTTATACAAATATGCATTTACACCAGTCCAATTTATGTGCCAGTCAAAGCTTATGAGTGTACCAGAGAATATCACACAGAGGAGATGCTGGGCCAGATTGTTTACTGCACTTTCAAATGACTGATCACAGATGGAGGCAAGATGACAAAGAATGTGCCAGTCTGTTCAGTCATGCTGTCCATTTTCAAAATAACATACAAATTATTTTAGACTGCTTTGTTAACTTTCTGCAGAAATGAGCTGCACAATAAGTGAACATGCCCTGGAGACTTCATGGAACTTGATAGAAATGTCAAGTTATGCCTGCTACTTAAGACTACACATCGGGCGGAGGTGCAAACAGAGAATCAAATAACCTGACTGGCAAAACACAGTCAATTGAGTGGATTTTCACTGCCAAGGTTCCCATGCACACAATATATGACATGCTAAATGTTAGAATGCAGCAGAAACCAGCTTATGTCTTGACAAAATGTTACCATGATTCCAGCAATTATCCTATTTCAAGCACTTTGTATTAACTCAACTAAGCTTATTGTTGTGGAATTTGTACCTGCTGTGTTTTGTGGTGAAAATGAAACTGAGTTACAGTTTGTGACGACGCAGTTTCCTGGGTTTCAAATCGTTTCTGCACACTTGCAAGTCCCCCAGGCAGGGAACAGACTTCTGACTCCTCCATGACCTAATGATGCAGGAAAGATCGGAAAGATCATTACCTACCTCCACTGCTACATGGCCTGAAATCAAATGCTTGATAATTGGGCTTTTTTACTAATTGACAGTGCAGACTGCTGTCAAAGCTTGTGCATCCCATTGAGTGTTTGTCTGTTCGAAGGCACATAAAAAACATTCATTGCGTTTGTCCACCAGTTCATTCTGTAGGAATTGTTGGAAACTTTCTCCAAATAAATAACTAGTTAGCCTGCTTATTGAACATCACTTTATGTGCATTGTGTAACAAATTAACCCCTTTTTATATATGCAAAACTTCTATCATATCTACCCAAACAATGATGCTGATAAAACAAAATGCAGCTTCCACACAATGGGGACAAAAGCAAACTGACAAGTAAGTTTAGAGTTTTCCTTTTTTAAACAGTTCTGGGTTGTAAGCAACACATATGCATGCCGCCAAAGTACCCCGCTGAGGATGGTGTTGTCTGCTCGCTTGGAGACAGCTGCCTGGTACATGGCCTCACAGGTAGCCCGTGGGATGGTGTCTGAGTTTGCAGAGAGAATCCTGATTCCTCTGGTTTCAAACTCTCAGGATGTCCAGCCCTGGTTTAACTTTTACTGCCAGCAGCTGAGGCACAAAAAGCCAACATTTGGAGAAAAGGCCTGTTATTACTTCAGCAGTTTCCCATTTTATTTTTATTTGCTTGTTTGTTTCATCCAAAATTGTAAACATATTCTGCACTGCTATGCTAAAAGAATCAAATCACTGTAGTCAAAGGTTAGTAAAAAAAAAAAAAAAAGGCATCTCATGTAAAAATCCTCCTACACCCAAGAACAAGCTAAAAACACACAATTACACCAATATTCAGTTTGAAATTTTCAAAGATCATGATAAACGAGCACCAGAACTGCTTACAAGGTGCTGCTGCAGTGCAGGAGGCGCTAACAGCACAATATTCATCTGGAACATAATTTAAATCAGTTGCACATCTGTGTCCTGACATTCAGTTACCCCAAGGATAGAATTTTTTTTTTAAAAGGTTGTAAACAACTATCTAATGTCAAAGTCATGGTTATGCTGTGCAGCAGTTTTTGATGCATGCCTCCTGTGTGAAAACATTTGCAATCAAATAATGTGAATGTTTTGCCTAATATACTGAGATACTCATTATCGTCCTAGATTAATGAGCACTTCAGCTGTTTCATAACCACATAAAATTATGGTTTGGATCATTCTGAGTTTTTATGCAGGTCACAATGATGTTGAATTTCAAATAGTTGTGCAATAGCTGTGCAATCGTTTATTACAAGCCCTGTTTATAGATCATATTTCTAGTCTAAATAAGCATGTGTTTTTATAGATTAGGTCATCATGCTTTTTCTTTTTTAACCTCAGCCATAATTTATCTCAGCTGTCTGAAAATAAAAGCTTCTTCCTCCTCCAATTGCTAACAGCCACAGCAAATCCATTTCTCTATTCTTGAAATCTGAAGCATTCACTTCTTGGTTAATGTAAACATGAAATGTGCTGATGCAAAGGAGAAAATGACATTTACATTCAGATGGTTTTGCCTGAAAAAAATGAAAAATAAAATACTTTCCTCGTCCAAACAAAAATAACTTGTTTTCTACAAAGTACAATTTTCAAAAGAAGATTTTGTGTGTGGGTGTGTGTGTGTGTGTGAGATTAATGAATACCTGCAGTTAGCTAATTGTAATGTCAAAATCTATTAGCTAAATTAATTCTGCCAGAAAAATGCAAATGTAATCACAAGATATAATTTCCCAAACACCAGAATCAGTGATGTGTCACTTCAAGGATTCAATGTTTTTTTTAATTGTCATTCACATCACATATGGTACATGAGGTGGAACAAAACTATGTACATAGAGTCCCAGATACATCCAACAAAAATACAAATTGCAAAGAAAAACAGTAGTAATATCTAAGACATGAACTAAGAAATACACTAAAATAAGAATACACTAAATACACTAAAATAAGAATACACTAAACTAATAAACTTAACTAAACCAAACTAATTAACAATAACAAGCTGTACATGACAAAAATAATAATTGTAGTTGTGTATAGTTTTTATCATCCTAATGTTTATATATATATATATATATATATATATATAATACATATGTTCATGCTGGCAGATGTTGATTTTGGACCAACCAGGTTTAGCCTTGGATTATCAAGAAAAGAGAGTCAAAACAATTGAAATATTAAAGTTTCTTCTGCTTTTTAGAACAAATTTTTGCTTCGCAGCATAAAACTTTGTAAGACTGAGAGAAACCAAACATTTCTGTTGAGCCTGTCAACAGGCCCAGGCTATCACATGACGTGTCATGTTGGGGCGAGAGCTCATATAGCAAGAAAGTGAATTTATCTCGGCGCCACACACTTGCAAAAATAAATCAAGCCTATTTTAGACTTTACTGTGATGGGTCGTGTTTCTCTGTGAAATCTAAAGGAAAACTGGGAGGTCAGAGATTCTTTATCCAAAAGCATCCCAACAACTTTCACTTATGGCGTTCGTCTTAAGACTAAATTTTCAATTATTCTTCCAATTTCTTTATTTTATGACCTGGCACTGAAGAGATTAAATAGACTGACAGCTAGAAGCACTGATACTACTAAAATAACTGCTAAACCGAATAAAACTAATCTGTCCTTGAGCTAAAAGTTCACCTAATTTAACATTTTACTCAGACCTTGATTAATATGTTGCCTTCAAGTACTTTTAAAGAGTGGAAGAGCACTCATTCAGGATACATTTTTCATTCTCGTCACTGCAGATTACCATGTTCTCTATATTCTGAGTTATTAACATAAAAACACAACTCAAAACCCTGCATATTTGTATTTTTTCACACCACTTTTCTGAATTCAGACAAAAGCTCAAAGAAATTCTTACCCGGGAAGAATGACGCCGAAATACAAAAAGGCTATTCAGCAAGTAAAATCCCACTTTGAGGCCACTGCACCCCCGCCTGCAGGGTCGTTCCAAGCCAAAAGCAAATCCCAGTCAGTGATGGAGACCAGCTCCAGTTCTGTGTGTTCAACTCTGTCCAACGAGCAGACAGTGACAGCTGATTTTATTTTAGACTCTCCGCCCACTTGCAGAAGATGGTTAGTGGGTGTGTGTGTTTTTTTAAGAAGACTTCAAGCCTCCAATGTCAAGTCCCCGGAAAATACGTACAGAAATACTTACTCTGACTCCTTTAGAGACAGTTGTACAACGTTAAATCAGGTCAATCAAGTTTCATCATCACATCTACCACCAGAGTGCATACCATAGTCCAGCAGCTGCTGCCGCCTGTCATGGCACGCCAACTTGTGCATTTACAAATCTCCAAAACAAATATTCTAAGAATCCATCATCATTCACTGCTCCTGGTACTCCCAAAGCAGCACAAACTGGACATCAAGCAGGTGCAAATTCATGAGACGTTAAAACGGTGTTCATATGTGTTGAGCCTGCGCTTTACAGTTAGTCTGAACTGGGATGGGTGATGTAATGCTATGTGTTGGGAAGCGCCGTGTTCGAGGGGCTGTAAATACAAGAGACACCTCTAAGTGTGGAGGAACTGGCCTGCTCGTCTTGTCAAGCCAAGCCGCAGACTGTGGCGCCAGTCTGGCTCTGGAATCTGATGGAAGTTGGGTCAGTGTTCGGAGACCGGGCGGATTCTGCGCTTGGCATCGGCACAGCCCTGTTCATTCACGGCATGTGTAGCCCACGCCTGCATTTCTAAAGACCACCTGCTTTGAGGAGAAGTTTTCGAGTTTTGACCATTTTTCTTTTGCGATAAGTCTCAACATCTGGCCTAATTTAACTTCAACAATTTTTATTTTTGCTTTAACTAGGATAGAAGTCTCATGTTTTTTTTTTCATCATACATATGATTTGTTGAGTTTCAAGCTTTTATTCTAACTCAAGCAGAAGTGATATAACAAAATTCATGGTCAATATATGATCAGATACAATGAAATGTTCACTGAGTGAATTGGATTAAAAAAATGTAAAAAGTATGCAGCAGGCTCAAGTGTTGAACCACATGAAACTATTTCAGTAATGTTGTGATGGGCTTTAAGGTCTTTTGATTTATATTAAAAAATATTCTAGCTTGGTCATAAATTTAAACTTTGTTAGGCTTCAGAATGTTTTAATAGTTTATACATAGTACAAAACAACTGCAATTCTTGTAATACTTATTTCTTGGCTGCACCATCATTTTAACTAATCTGAGCTGTCCTTATGAGGTTTATTTTTGCACAATACAAATGTTTTGGCATAATTATGAGCGTAAGAAAATGGATTGCACTATAGCAACTGTGGAGGAGGACGCTACCTTTTAATAATGCATTTTTCCTCATTTTCTGGCCCATTTTGTATCATATTCGGGCACTTATTATTCATCCATCCATGCATTATCTTTACCCGCTTATTCCATTTTGGGTCACGGGGGTCGCTGGTGCCCATGTCCAGCAGTCACTGTGCTGGGGGCGGGGTACACCCTGGACAGGTTGCAAGTCCATCACAGGGCCACATAGAGACTCTAAATTGTCCCAGGTGAGAGTGAGAGAGTGAATGGTTGTTTGTCTCATTTGTCTCTATGTGTCCCTGTGATGGACTGGAGACCTGTCCAGGGTGTCCCCTGCCTCTCACATAGTGATAGCTGGATATGGGCTCCAGTGACCCCCGTGACCCAAAAAGGAAGAAGCTGGTAAAGATAAGGGATGGATGGGCAGATGGATGGAAGTTATCAGGACTCAACTAGTAGCACAAAAAAAAACAAAATTATTGAGTGCTGGAGAGGAGTGGTAGTGGAGTGGAATTTGATAAATTGTACATTTTAATCATTTTTTTGTTTAGTTTTTAATGAGTTTTTATTCACTTCACTGCCACTTTGTTATGTTTTAAAATACTTGAGTAAATATACCTGTTCAGGATTGTGTGTGTGTGTGTGTGTGTGTGTGTGTGTGTGTGTGTGTGTGTGTGGGGGGGGTTATTGTTAGGTTTTAAAAAACATTAATGCGCTTCACAAATAGTTTGAATGTTGTCAAGGCAATAATTTGCCCAACTTTTACCCCCCTACATAGAAACCAACTGTGAAAAGATCCGGTTGATTTGTTGCGACTTGGGACTGAGAACAGGTTAGTGCGTCTAAAATCAACAGTTAAAAACTCGTCAGGAAACTAAAAATATTATGATGTTGTGTTTGACCGTTACTTATGCTTTAACCAACATTCTACTATGGAATTAGATCATTTATTTAGTATCAGAGTATCTGGGGGGCTATCTGTGGCAGCTTGATGGTCAGTATAGCAGTGTTATAATCTTAAGGCTGCAGGTTCAAGCCAAGGTTTTATCTGGAAGGGTAACTGTGTAAAACAATTGTCAAATCTTTCATGCGAGTTCACTTGCTATGGCGAAAAGCAGTAGGGAGCATCCAAAATAGGAATTAAAAAAATAAAGAAGTGCTGAAAAAAACAAGATGTACAATATGGTTCAGTATGTACGGATGCATGCTCAATAATCCAGGTAGATGAATCTAACAAAGTTAAGTCAGGTCCTCTGGATGGATTCTTCTTTGTTCAAATGTTGCGTATTTTATCCAAAAAAAACCTCCTTCAGTCTAAAAAGCTGCAACAAATTCAGTCTTATAAATAGCACCTTCTCATAATGGATCAACCAGTTTGCTGGTGACATCCAAAACTATTTGTTCACATGCAAAAGGAGGACCATCAGAGCACTAACGCCCCAGTGTTAGTGCTCTGATGGCCGCTTGCTATTCACAGAGAGCTGAGTGATACTAGCAATAACAGCATTGTAAGAGTGTGACAGTTGGACACGGAGGCCTCCACCCCTGTTTAATGATGGATGGTTTGTATTCACAAAGATGGCCTCCTTTACTCCTCTCTCAAACTAACATTCCTCTCTATCCAGGATGTGAACATTGTCATCCTTGAAAGTGTGACCTCTGGCCTAGAGATGAGTGTAAACCACAGAGTCCTGGCCTGATGATGTTGCTCTTCTGTGCTTGTCCATCCTTTTGGACACTAGCTGTTTAGTTTCCCAGATGTGATCCCCGATCACAGCCCTCCTGACACTGAACAGCATACAAAATGTTACTTGTGCCAGTGGACTGTATCTTTTGGATGGACCAGTCTTTGTCATAATGAGTTTTGGGGTTTGAAAGCTACTGAGATGTCACGTTTAGAAAATAAACGTCTCAGTTTCTCTGGAACTACTGCAACATACAGAAAGACCACCGGTCTAGACCAGTGGTCGTTCTGTATGTTGCCTTGAGAAGGGGCTGTTTATAACACTGAGTTTGTTGCGGCTCCTCAGACTGAAAACGACTTTTGGATAAAAGATGAAACGTTTCAACAAAGAAGAAGCCATCCAGAGGACCTGACTCAAACTTGTTAGAAGACGTGCCCAAGTAACCACCTTACATGGGCATCACTGACCATCACAATGATGCTCTAGACTAATGAAATTTGGTTGTCTAATTCAACGTCAATGAGGGATTTGGGGATAACAAAAATAAGAAATAAAATAAACAATTGTATTTAAATGTTCTTTTCTTCCTGGGTAACTTTCATACCTTGCCTTTAGCAAGACAACAGATCTGTTGCTGCTTCCTCCACAGACATGTAATCAACAAGCATGAGTTAGCACAGAGTATCAAAGAGAGAATCTGTACATCTCTTTTATTCTTGTAGTTTATAACCCTGCAGGTTGTTGTTGTAAATAGCTTTGAGCTCTTGGTCTCGGCAGCTGCTTTTACTGTGGAGTCCAAAGCAGGAAACTGAGGTGTTTACTTTGAAACATTTAGTTAGCTTTTTGAGTAAACAAAGAAAACATCACATTCACAAAGACCGACAGATACATCTGCCTGTTATTATGGGAGAAAATAATTAAAGCAATGCTACAAACAGTATGAAGATAAATTATCAATGTCATATTCTAATTGCAATTATAATACAAACAGAAAGACATAGGCCTGTAGTTCCTTTTCATAAGAACTATGTCACTTAATTCATAACTTGGTTGTTATACAGTATCAACCACTGTGTAAATTCAATAGGAATGCTGCTGTTTGGGGTAGACTGAGCTCAGCTGACTGAAATCAGACTATCTGATTTGGATCGAACGAGAGGAACTCACCGCTGAAGCCACGGAGCACGAATGTCCAAAGTAAAACTAAATTCACCACGGTAGAGAATTGAGGCTCCAGCAGCACGAACCGTTCAGAAACAATTTGAAATGAGGAAAAAATGCTATTTATTAACTGATTAAGTCGTGTTTTAGACTGCTTATTACTAGCGCATCTATTCTGACCCAAAGTGCAGCCGTGACTGGTTCTGAGTGACGGCCTTACAGCAGACAGCTGCTCCCCTCTCTTCCAGGTACTGCGTACTGGCACAGAATCTTTTAGTGGTACGCAGTACTGGACCGACTTACTTTCACTCCTGGTTGCGACGTTACGTTCTCTTGTCTGTATTATTCTGTTGGTACAGAACTGCGTGCGAGTGAAAGGGGTTGGGCGTGGCAGCGGTAACAAGAACATGTAATTAGCAATGAGTCACGTTATCGCTCGGATTTGAATCAGTATGTTTTACTTCCAATAAAAACAAAGATGTTAACAAATAAACTGGACAATATTCTGGCAATTCAGTGATATTTCCACAGTTGTGGTCTTGACTGGTCTTGAAATAAAATCCAGAGTCTTTAATGTTCGAGACCGAGACAAGACCAAAACCATCAAAAAGTGGTCTTGAGACCGGTCTTAAGTACTACAACACTAGCCACAGGATGCATGACAATGAGTCAAAAGTCTACAGGATGTGATTAAAAATGAAGTCAGATTTGAGGAGATATGCCAAATTTAAAAGTGCTTGGATTGTGAGAGCTGCAGCTTTAATTGAACAACTGATATCTGTGTTGGTCTTTGCTCTGAGTATTACTCT